AACGTATGGTAATAGGTAAGAAGACGCCAACAGCAACAAAACACAGAAGACCAATACTAATGTTTTTAAATCCACTATCGAATACATGAATAAATAAAATGAACACCAGCCAGAGATAGAGTGCATACTGGGCAAGGCCCAAACACACTGAGCCCTGCGCTAGTCAGAGGTGCTAATGGAAAAAAGCAAACCCAAACTCTGTAAAATAATTTAAAGAGGTTTATTGAGCCAATGTGTGTGACCTCAACCTGGGAGGGCACCTAGGAAGACTTGAGCAAATGTGGTCCCAAGGTGACTGGGTTATAGTTTGGTTTTGCACATTTTAGGGCAACAGGAATTGCAGTTAAAATCATACAACACATAAGGGAAGCATTGGTTTTGCCAGAGAAGGCAGGACATCTCAAAGTGGGGCTTGCAGGTTATAGGTGGGTTCAAAGATTCTTTGATTTGTAATTGGTTAAAGAAATAAAGCTTTGTCTAAAGGCCTGGATTTTTCTTTCTTTTCTTTTTTTTTTGAGACAGAGACTCTTCGCCTAGGGTAGAGTGCCGTGGTGTCTGCCTACCTCACAGCAACCTCAAAATCCTGGGCTCCAGCTACTCGGGAGGCTGAGGCAGGAGGATCGCTTGAGCCCAGGAGATTGAGGTTGCTGTGAGCTAGGCTCGACACCACGGCACTTCACTCTACCTGGGCAACAAAAGCGAGACTCTGTCTCAAAAAAAAAAAAAAAAAATCCTGGGCTCAAACGATCCTCACTGCCTCAGTCCCGAGTAGCTGGGACTACAGGCACTGCACCACCATTTTCCAGCTAATTTTTCATTTTTTCTATATATTTTTAGTCGTCCATCTAATTTCATTCTATTTATTTATTTTTAGTAGAGACGGGGTCTCGCACTTGCTCAGGCTGGTCTCCAGCTCCTGACCTCGAGTGATCCGCCCACCTCCGCCTCCCAGAGTGCTAGGATTACAGGCGTGAGCCACCATGACCAGCCTCTATATATTTTTAGTTGGCCAATTAATTTCTTTCAATTTATAGTAGATTTGGGGTCTCACTCTTGCTCAGGCTGGTTTTGAACTCCTGACCTTGAGCGATCCTCCTGCCTCGGCCTCTCAGAGTGCTAGGATTACAGGCATGAGCCACAACACCCGGCCATGGAATGTTTTAAGGTAGATAAGAAAGTCTGTTGATCAGGGACAAGCTACACTGTACAGACTCAAGTGATCTCTTAAGCAAATTGATAGCCTGCAGAAATAACTTTCGCAAAATGAATGATTAAATTTAAAGATGGTGAATATTAAGTTGCCTTTGATATCCGATATGGATAACAAATTTGTACAATATGTTAACCTTTTTGACATAAAAAAAATCACATCACAACCAGTGTCTCGATTTTTCATTTTGTCTTTTTAAAAAACTTATGGTGTAACACCACCGCAGGAAAGGGAGTCAATTTTTCATTTTAATTGCAATTATAATGCTAATCTTTTATTTTTATTTTATTTTATTGAGACAGAGTCTCACTGTGTTGCCTGGGCTAGAGTGAGAGCCGTGGCATCAGCCTAGCTCACAGCAACCTCAAACTCCTGGGCTCAAGCAATCCTCCTGCCTCAGCCTCCCGAGTAGCTGGGACTGCCTATAGGCATGCGCCACCGTGCCCAGCTAATTTTTTCTATATATTTTTAGTTGCCCAATTAATTTGTTTCTATTTTTAGTAGAGACAGGGTCTTGCTCTTGCTCAGGCTGGTTTCAAACTCCTGACCTTGAGCAATCCACAGGCCTGGGCCTCCCAGAGAGCTAGGATTACAGGCATGAGCCACTGCAGGAGCCTAATGCTAATCTTTTAAATATGTCAGATGTCAAAATTCCTCGAAAACCACAAGATTCTGAAAATCCAAATATACCTACGATATTTCTAAACTGAAAGTAATCATAATAATTCCAAGGGTTTGTGTCACTATGCGTAATTCTAAAATGAGCCCGAGATCCTGACCCAAGCAAATTGGGGTTTCTTCCCCGGGTACTGGAGTGAATGAATGATAGTGATCCTGGTCAGATCCCAGCACCTTGGTCTCCAGCCTTAACCTGGATGTTACCAGAAACCCCGACTGGAACCGAAAAGGGGCTTGCTCGTCAGATGCAAGTTACCGCTCTCTGCTTTCTTCCGTCTAAAACCTCCCTGACCCCATGGTTCAGGCCGCCCTAACACAATGCCAAAGACTGGGTGCCTCAGGGGGCCTCAAACGGCAGAAATTTATTTTCTCACAGTCCTCGGAGGCTGTAAGTCCAAAATCAAGGGCTGGCCTTCCCCCTGTGTCCTAGCAGGGTCGTCCCTCCGAGTGTCTCTGCGTGGGTCGTAATCTCCTCTTCTTAGGGGGACCCCAGGCCTGTGTTATTAGGGTCCAC